GCGTAGTAATAAGCCGCAAAATCGAAACAACAAAAAACAACAAATCATAAAAAATGACTGCCCATATTGGACACCACCCTGCAGCTCTCCGTCGCCATGCTGTTGCTCATGAGCCACGTCTCGACCGCAGAGCGGGAGGTGGGGCTGGGAAGGGGCATGCCACTCTTCGACGAAGACCTTGCCCCGATGTGTGGCCGCCGCGATCGCCTCGGCGACCTGGAAGACCGACCCAGAGGTGTGGTTCGGGGTCAGAGAGCACGGGGCATCTGCGAAAAACACAGGCCGTGTCCGCGGGGCTCTCGGCCCAGGGGCCTGGCTGGCGAGACCGCGGACACGGACACGCGGGGTGGCGCGAGGGGGGGGCCTTTCCTCCTTGGAGGCGCGCGTCCGACCCAAACAGATAGTATGCCCATCTTGTAGTAGATCTTTTCCCGAGCGGTGTGGCCAGAAAGCGTCCGCCAAGACGCACATACTGATAAGATTTATCGATGCGCGCGTCGCCCCTGGGGGGGCGACGCACACATAGTAGTAGTATGTCGGAGTGACGCCGATTCTGAGAAGGCAGGGGGGACTTCTAAGCAGAAGGCACGGGCCTTCGTAGACGCCGTCCCAGCTCCTGAGAGGCCGTCTTAGAAGCCGCCAGGGCCTCCCGAGAAGGTCCCTGCCTTCTGAGAGACCCTTCGCCCTAGAAAGGCCACTTCCCTCGCGTCATCCCCGCGTGCGCGCCGCCGACAAGCATCGGGCGGCTCGGAAACATAGGGACGGCCGATTCTTCGCATTGTGTAGACTCCAGCAGCGGTCTTCGGGTACACACCTCACAGAGAAAAGGGCAGCAGCAGCACAGGAGGGGAAGGGTCAAGCGGTCTGGGGCGTCAACCTCCTGGGAAACTCGAGCTGCTGGCTGTCCGGGTGGACGTCTCTTCACGCTTTGAGGGAGCTCCAGCCTTCTCGCGGCGCTCACTTCCTTCCCCGTCTGCACTCCCCTTCCCTTGTGAGTAAGCCGCCTCCGACGCGCCCCGCCGATAGCCGACCGCCTGCTGGATCCAGCCTGCCGCCGATCACAAGTCTGGGTGGACGCGAGTGCCAGCATCGGATGAGCATCGCTGAACCGATCCTTATCCCCATTGACGTGGCCTTGGTCCCACTGGCCGATGTTACCCTCCTGGATGGGAACATGTGCTGTTCCCCTCGTGTTCTGCAGGGCATACGCCAAACGGGGGGGGGGAGATGGTGGGGCTGAGAGACCATGGCCCAATGGGGCGTTGCAAAGTATCCGCGAACACGCTGTTGGGCGAAGGCTTGTGGCCGATGCTGATTCGTCTCCTCCTCATGCGCCTCCTCGTCCTCCTCCTCTTCCTCCTCCTCCTCCTCTTCCTCTTCCCCCTCCTCTTCCTCCCCCTCCTCCTCCTCCTCCTCTTCCTCCTCCTCCTCCGCCTCCTCCTCCCAAGCACGATGTAAGTTAGGCAACCGCCAAGCGTGCCGCCGGTTCCGCAGAGCGGCGAGAACATGCTGGCAGCGCCCTCGTCCGCACACGCGCTCCGGCGTAGGGCACGAGCGCGTGGATGCACAGGGATGCGTATCGGTTTGGCGATGCTGGTCGGATCTGGTCCAGCGGCGACACCCACCAGGTCAGCCTGATGGTGTTGGAGGAGGAGGAAGAGGAGGAGGAGGAGGAGGAGGAGGAGGAGGAGGAGGAGAAAGAGCAGGAGCAGGAGGAGGAGGAGGAGGAGGAGGAGGAGCAGGAGCAGGATAAGGGAGGAGGAGGAGGGAGGAGGAAAAAGGCGGAGGAAGGAGGAGAGGAGGAGAAAGGAGGAGGAGGAGGAGAGGAGGAAGGAGGAGGTGGGGGGCGGCCGCTCGCGGCCGCGGCTCGGCGCGGCTCGAGAGGCTGGCCAGGATGGGCCGCCGGAGGAGTCTGTGAGCAGCGCTGAACCGACCTCACGTCCCCAGGGGCGCGGCCTGGACGCCACATTGCTGTGGGGCATCGTGCCTATTATCGGGCGTGCCACATGGGGGCTCGGGGCGGAGGCTCTTGGGGTGGCTTCCTCGATGGCAGGAGGGCTGCTAAGAAGCGCTCCGCCTCTCCAGAAGGCCGCTTCCCTGAGTGCACCCCATGCTTAAACCCAGTCATGCAGTCAACACGCCGAAGCAAGGACCACTTTGGGCTTTTGGAGCGGCCCCGGTTCTCGGACCGCTCCTCGGCTCGCGGTGCCCAGAAAGGCCCCTTCGTTCGGTATGTCCTCGCCACTCCGTCTTTGGAGTGCAGTAGCGTGCGCCAGCGTCTGACAATCACGACAAAGCGCGGACTCAGCGTAACTTTGCGTCGATTGAGTGTTGTTTCGCGTCGATCAGCGTCGGCCAGTGTCGGTCAGTGCTGATTCGCAGGAGCCAGCAAGATGGCGTGGTATCTCCCAGGAGCTGCCACAGAACCTGCGTTCCTTATTCGGCGTTCCTGATGTCGGCGGCGCGCCCAGGGGGGAAGTGAGGGGGGGGCAGGCCTTCGCAGAAGGTGGCGGGGCTTGTCAGAAGCCCTCCGGCCTTCCGAGAAGCCGCGCATGTCTTCCGATAAGGCTTGCAGTGGAGACCCATGCCAAGAAACACCCTGCTTGCCTCCAGGGTGCCCTGGGTTTCTTGAGTTTCGATGGTTTTGCTGTGGAGAGCGTGACGTTCCCACCAAAAATCAATGGACGTCCCGGGGTCTCAGGGTTGGGTTTCTTGAGGAAGGTTTCTTGTGGTTGGGCCCCTACTGTACCCAACGTCTTAGAAGGCTGGAGGCTTTCCGAGCCTTCCGGGAAGGCCCACCCCCTCCATGGCAGCACATGACCGCAACTGGCCTCCAGCTCAGTCTCGTTTAACCGACCTCTGTCCCCATCCTCAACCCTTCCAGACCTCAACCATCTCAGCACCCCAATCGCGGATAGGGTCAATCCGCATAATAGGGATGGACACCCTCCCCAAGGGTATCCTGCATCCTTGCATCCTGGGTTCATCCTTGGCCGCTTTCGCTGGCCGCGCCCCGCCCGAAGAGTGTCGACATGGCCTCCCAAGGCCCTTGAATCCTTACAGTGGAGGACCATGCCAAGAAACACCCTGCTTGTCTCCAGGGTGCTCTGAGTTTGTTGGGTTTCGATGGTTTTGCTGTGGAGATCGCGACGTTCCCACACCAAAAAACAATGGGCGTTCCGGGATCTCAGGGTTGGAATTATTGTGGAAGGTTCCTTGTGGACTGGCCTCCACTGTATCGCGCATCCTCATGGTACGGGTGGACTGTACAGCCCTCGAAACCCCAAGGAAACGGCCCATATCCCATGTGGGCGCAGGCCCAGGCCGCGTCCCTGGGGATGTGAGGTCGGTTCAGCGCTGCTCACAGACTCATCCGGCGGCCCATCCTGGCCATCCTCTCGAGCCGCGCCGAGCCGCGGCCGCGAGCGGCCCCCCCCCCTCCTCCTACTCCTCCTACTCCTCCTCCCTCTCCTCCTCCCTCTCCTCCTCCTCCTCCTCCTCCTCCTCCTCCTCCTCCATCCTCCTCCTCCTCCTCCTCTCCTCCCTCCACTTCCTCCCTCTTCCCTCCTCACTTTTCCTCCTCCTCCTCCTCCTCCTGCCCAAGCTCCTCCTCCTCCTGCTCCTCCTCCTCCTCCTCCTCCCCCCTCCTCCTCCTCCTCCTCCTCCTCCTACCTCCTTCTCCCTCCACCGCCTCCTCCGCCTCCTCTCCTCGCCTCCTCCTCCTTCCTCCTCCTCCTCCTCCTCCTCCTCCTCCTCCCTCCTCCTCCTCCTCCTCCTCCTCCTCCTCCTCCTCCTCCACCTCCTCCTCCTCCTCCTCCTCCTCCTCCTCCTCTTCCTCCTCCTCCAACACCATCAGGTTGACCTGGTGGGTGTCGCCGCTGGACCAGATCCGACCAGCATCGCCAAACCGATACGCATCCATGTGCATCCACGCGCTCGTGCCCTACGCCCGAGCGCGCGTGCGGACGAGGGCGCTGCCAGCATGTTCTCGCCGCTCTCCTCCTCCTCCTCCTCCTCCTATCCTCCCCTCCTCTCCTCCTCCTCCTTCCTCCTCCTCCTCCTCCACCTTCCTTCCTTCCTTCCTTCTTCCTTCCTTCCTTCCTTCCTTCCTTCCTTCCTTCCTTCGGTCCTTATCTCCTTCCTCCTTCTTCCTTCCTTCCTCCTTCCTCCTTCCTCCTTCCTCCTTCCTCCTTCCTCCTTCCTCCTTCCTCCTTCCTTCCTCCTCTTCCTCCTCTTCCTCCTCTTCCTCCTCTTCCTCCTCTTCCTCGTCCTCCTCCTCCTCCTCCTACGAGCACATCCGCTCGGAGGACCTGCTGGACGCGGCGCGCTGCCACCGATTCGCCACGCGGCTGCTGCGCAGTCTCTGCACCGTTTATGCGGGACCGCGTGCCCTCCTCTACGCCAGAGCCGTGTCAGAGCATGAGGGCGAAAGTACGGTCATCGCGGGGTGCTCAGGGCCACGACGTTGGCGAAAGTGCTCCTATTGACGCCGCTTCGCCTCGTCCAAGAACAGCGCCAGCTTCTGCATGTGCGCATTGTGGTAGACGACGCGTCGATACAAGGGTACGGCAAGGCCCAGGACGCAGCCAGGCAGGTAAGGGCCAGCACCGCGGCATTCATGCAAGAGCACCACCGGCTGCACCTGCCGACAACGCTCAAGAAGCAGCACTACATGGGCAGCAACCCGACGGTCGAAGCGTTGCTGGGGAAAGTGGGCGTTGCCGGCATCGGCGAGGGTAATGACTACCTACCAGACCACCCCAACCCAACCCGAAGACCCGAATCTGACCCGAATTTCGGGTTGGGGGGGTACGGATACCATGTGTTTTTTCAACGTTCCCCGACCCCCCCCCACTGGAAATCGAGGATAAATTTGGGCCTTCGGGTTGGGTTGGGGTGGTTTGGTGGGTGGTGAGGTAACCCACTGCGGGTTCCTGGGCAGCGACTGCTCCATGGGCAGGGTGCGCCGAGCGGGCGAGGCGCGGGCCCGGCAGCAGGAGGCGCCGAGGAGAGGCAGGAGGACGAGGAGGTCGAGGGCAGCAGGCGCCGACACCGCACTGGCCCACAGGATTCTGGAGGTCGGAAAGGGGTGTGGCATAAAGGGGTATGGTGCCAATCGTGGAAATGGCGATGCGATCTGCGATACATAACAGCGCCATATCCCCCCTTGACACGAACTTAGCACCACACCCCTTTATACCGTACCCCTTTCCTACCTCCAGAAGGATGGGCCCGACAGTGCAGGCCTCTTGGGGATGCGCGGTGGCCGGTGTGATCAGCAGTCCCCTGCATGGGCTGCGGGTTGCGGTCGCCGGCAGCGTCGGGAGACTGCCGCGAGGATGCTCAGTGGGGGTGCGGCTGCACTCGCACCGATCTGGCTGCACTGTCGATCCCCCGGCAGTCGTCACCCGCCAGACGATCGGCATGTGGGCGCAGTCCATCTGGGAACGGCACCCTGCGCCCAAGATAATTGATGCAGGTGGTGCTGGAGCAGGTGGTGACGAAGCTGCAGGCGGCCGACACGCCGTGGCGGCTGGTCGCGACCCCGGCCGACGCGGCGTTCGAGACGTTGCGGCGCGCAGGGTGGACCTTCCAGAGTTCCACCACCCTCACGACCGACAGGGGCGAGACCACCGACTTGACGGTCACGCCTCCCCGACAGGTGCAGCAGCTGCTTGTGCTCGCCGCAGTCCAGGCCTCGGACCGGATGGCCTTGCCTGCACAGGGCAAGGCCGCGGGAAGGCGATCCACGGACACAGCAGAGGCCGGCGAGCCCGAGGCAGGCCCGATACTCTGGTCGGCCCTGAAGCCTCTCCTACACAGAGACAGGGCTGGCAACGGTTGGAGCCGCCGGGGACAGCTGCCGCTGCGGAGCGTCACGTCGAACTGCCATTGGTGTCAGCAGCGCTTGCATGCGCACGGCCTGGCTCAGAGCGACCGCTGCACTCTGTGCCAAGGAGCGCCCGGATCGCTCTGGCATCGAAGACTCGGCTGCGATGCGTCGCTGGCGGTGCGGCGGGACCTGTGCCCGCCTTGGCTGCAGGAGCGGGCGAGGAGGGTGAGGGAGTGGAGTGCGGAAGCAGGTGAGAAGTTTGCCATGGGCATCGTCTCGGACCCGTCGCACGCGTTCCCTCGCACCGACCTCGGTGAGCAGGTCTTCTGGTTCAACTGGCCCCCAGAAGGCAGGCTGTCGGTCGATTGCCTGCCTGGGGATTGTGGTTCCCTCGCGGGGGGGGGGGCGTCCGAGGCGGCGGCCTCCGAACTAAATCGTGACTGCTTTCCTTCTGACCGCCCCTAAGACAAAGCCAAAACGAAGACAAAATCGAACGAGGACAAAACGGGAATCTCTGAGATCCGGCGGTTCTGGAGGATGCATCGGGCGCCGCGGCTTTCTCAAAGCATTCTGGAACGCTCTGAGAGCGCTGCGGAATGCTCTGGAACGGGCTCATCCTCGTCCTCGGCCCGCCCAGCCCTCTCCCTCTCGGCGACTCCGCGAGGTGTGGCTTGCAAAAGGGTATGACTTGCAACGGGCACCCTGGAGGAGCACCGTATGGGGGCACCCTGGGGGGCGGGCGAGGACCTCGACAGAGCTCTCCGCCGCGCCCCGAGGAAGCCCGACGAGGACAGCGTCTTCCCTCGGAAAATAGAAAAAACGCCATACACGTAAACTTTGGGCGCTCTGCGCGAATTGTTGGGATCTGCGCTGGACCCCGCGCCACAGGCCCCGTGGGGGCCCAGAGCGGATCCACGAAATCTGCGCGGAGCGCCAAAGTTTATGTTTGTGGGGCTGATCCTTCTTCGAGTAGCAATACCCTGTGTACAGTCGACCCGTATCATAAGGACGCTCGATAAGCATGCAAGGGCATTCGAAGGCCATTCCGACACTCTGCGAGCGGGGCGCTGCCGATTACGTGGCCAAAGATGAACAGAGGAGGCAAGGATGCAAAGGTACCCTTGGGGATGTGGCCCATCCTCAAAACGCTAGAGGCCTCCCAGATGGGGTCGGAGTAGATGGGATCGGAGGATCGCGCCGCATCGCCGATACGTCGGCGATGCGTCGGCAATTCATCAGCGATGCATCGGCGATGCGCCAGCGGTGTGCGTCGACGCGGACGATGCATCGGCGACGTCGACGTGAGGCAAATCGAGCTCCACACCGAGCCGCGTGGCCGACGCATCGACGATGCGGCGCGATCCTCCGACCCCATCCACTCGGACCCCGTCTGGGAGGCCTAGATATGCGGGTGTTTTGGGTTTTTTTGTTTTTTTGCAATCATTTGTTTCTTTTTATTTTTTTTTGCAATCCACGCGGACCCCGTCTGGGAGGCCCAGATGTGCGGGTTGACTGTAGTCGCCGACCCTCGGGCGGCGAGGAGGGCGCGCCCGCGGCGGCCGCCCGCGGCTGCCGGGGGCCCTCCGCTACATCGACGGCGGGCGCGCGGCGCGCGGCGCGGGCGCCGCGCGCGGCGGCGGCCGCGGCGGGCGCGGGGGCGCGGCTTCCTGGCCGCGGGCGGCGCCGGCGTCGGCGGCGGCGTCCGAGGCTCAGGTCGGGCATGTCCTCCTGTATAAAAACGAGGCCCAAAATGGTCAAACAAAAAACAATATGATTCTTCTACAGGGTAGTATCTTTTTACCTTTAACGAGCAGTCCTCCTGTAGAGGGGCATGCCCGACTTAATCCTAGGCCCATAGTATGGAACGCAGAAGGACACCCAGACTTTCAGCGCATTGAACATGCAACACGGAGGTGTGTCGTTTGGGGACCTCTGGAGCCCTCGCCAAGGCCGACGACTCTCAAAAACGACTCTGGATGCAAAAGTCGTCCTGGGGAGGGTCAGGACATCTGGGGGGCGCGTATTGCATGGAAAGGCACACCGGGCCCGAAATGGGCACGGACAAAAGGGGCAGAATGCCCAACAACAAATGTTGTCCAAAACCGACAGCGGCCGCTTTTGGGCAGGCGGCTTTATGTCTTCAGTGAACAACGTCCGCGGCGGCGCGGACAGCGAGTCTGGTTCAAAATGAACAGGGACTGCTGTTGGGCACCGTACCCACTATTTCCGTACCCATGTCGATCGTCCCGATACTAGAGATTGTCTCTTGTCTGGTAATTAACGGTCGATACCTGGGGAGGGGGGGCCCTGGGTACCGGTAACGCTTGGGCGGGGTGGGACACGTCGAGGCGGGAGGGCGCTGCGATCGCCACAGTACGCGTGCGAGCGCCAACGTGTGGGGGGGGTCCCAGCCCACCCCCCTTTACGTACGATCGTTACCGTAGCCCCGGGCAAGGGGGGGCCCCGGCAAGGGCCGATACGCGCCAGAAAACGGCAACTTCCTGGAACTACTCTCAGGTCGGCCATGTCCTCCTGCTGGCGGAACTCGGAAGGAAAGTGAAAGATAGCCAAAAAATGATCCCAAACAGCCAACAAGAGTAGCAAAATCGTGCCCGTACGATGTTCTCTCACTATGTTTGCTTGCCCCTCCCGTGGAGGGAGCCCGGAGCCTGCTCGGTGCGAAGGCCGCCGGCGTGCGCTCCGCTCTGCCGCGGCCGCCGCGACCGCGCCGCTGCGAGGGCGTTTGCTCCAGCCCACCCCCTGCCATGTGCGCCCGGGGTGGCCCGATGCATTGTCCTACTCCCCCCCCCTCCTCCTCCTCCCCCCCGTCCTCCTCATCCCCCCCCTCCTCCTCCCCCCGTCCGCCTCAGATCCTAGAGGCCATGGCCTCACCCACCTGGTCTGCCCTAGGCCCGGACGCTGTCCGCAACGGTGGTCGCATCGCATCCTCCCCCCGTCCGCCCCCTCCTCCTCCTCCTCCCCCTCCTCGTCCTCCCCCTCCTCCTCCCCCTCCTCCTTCCTCCTCCTCCTCCTCCTCCTCCCCCCCTCCCCTCTCCTCCTCCTCTCCGTCCTCACTCCTCCGCTCCTCCTCCTCCTGCCTCCTCCTCCTAGCGCCGCCTCCTTCTCCTTCTCCTTCCCTCCCTCCTCCTCCCTTCCTCCCCCTCCTCCTCCTCTCCTCCTCCGCCCTCCTCCTCCTCCTCCTCATCCTCGCTCCTCCTCGCCCTCCTCCTCCGCTCCTCAATCCTCCTCCTCGCTCGTTCTCGTTCCATGGGCAGTCTCCTCCTCCTCCTCCTCCTCCTCCTCCTCCTCCTCCTCCTCCTCCTCCTCCTCCTCCTCCTGCCATGTGCGCCCAGGATGGCTCGATGCATTTCTCATGCTTTCCATCGCTCGCTCGCCCCCTTACAGTCGACCCGTATCATAAGGATACACGATAAGGATGCAAGAGCCTTGGAAGGCCATGTCGACACTTTGCAAGCGGGGCGCGGCCAAAGAGGGTGGCCAAGGATGGACCGAGGAGGTAACGATGCACGGGTACCGTTGGGAAGGCTGCCCATCCTCACTATGCGGGTTGGCTGCATCAGACGTCCCCGCTCTCTCTCTCTCTCTCTCTCTCTCTCTGTCTCTCTCTCTCTCTCTCTCTCTCTCTCGCGTGCCCCTCGTACACCCCCCCCCATGTGTCGCATCCCCGTTCCTAGACGCCCGCGCGTGCCTCCTCGTCCCCCCACCGGCGGCCATGTGATTATCTCAGTTGTGTTTAGCTATGTTGTGCGCATAAATATATATATATAGTAGTACTTATATGTCAGTTTTATGCTCTTGTTTAAAATAAAACAAATAGGGGAAACAACAAAAAAAACAACAACGACAACAACAACAACAGCAACAGCAACAGCAACAGCAACAACAACAACAACAACAACAACAACAACAACAACAACAACAACAACAACAACAACAACAACAGCAACAGCAACAGCAACAGCAACAACAACAACAACACCAACAACAACAACAACAACAACAACAACGACATAAATGAATAAATAAATACATAAATAAAGAAATAAATAAACAACAACAACAACAACAACAACAACAACAACAACAACAACAACAACAACAACAACAACAACAACAACAACATAAATAAATAAATAAATAAATAAATAAATAATGAGCGGCGACCCGGCGCGGTCGCGCGCGAGGGGTGCCGGCGGCGCACCTGCCGCCGCGCTACGCCCTCGAGGCGGCCGACGCCGTGCCTCAGGCAGAGCGCGCGGTGCCGCCTTGCTGCGCCAGCGGCGCCAGGGGCGCCCGCCTGCGCCGGGCGCCGTCGTCGTCGTCGTCGTCGTCGTCGTCGTCGTCGTCGTCGTCGTTCCGTCGTCGTCGTCGTCGTCGACGTCGTCGTCGTCGTCGTTGGCGTCGTCGTCGTCGTCGGCGTCGTCGTCGTGGTCGTGGTCGTGGTCGCCGCCTTCGTCGTTGTAATTGTCGCCGTCGCCGTCGGCGTGGTCGCCGCCGTCGTCGTCGTCGCCGCCGCCATCGTCGTCGCCGCCGTCGTCGTCGGCGTCGTCGGCGTCGTCGGCGTTGTCGTTGACGCCGCCGTCGTCGGCGCCAGGGTCATCGCCGCCGTCCGGAAGCCGACAAAGCTGCATGAACAGAAACTTGTTCGGAGGGTCCGCGCGGATTTCTTGGGTCGGCGCCGGACCCCCCTGGGGGCGCCTCCGGCGCCGCCCCCTGGACGCGCTCCGCGCGCCAGGGAGGGAGGTGCAATGCACTGGTTCCGGCCGATGCCCAAGCCCTAACATTAACTCGGGCGTGTCCCCCTACAGGGGGATTGTGGGACGAGCATCAAAAAATACCCCAAAGATGATCCAAAATGACCCAACAAATATTCAATCTAGTCCCCAGACTATTTTTAAACTAGGCTTGAATATTTCTCCTGTAAAGGACGGGCCCGACGTAACCTTAACACGTGCGCACACACGTGCGAAACGAGAACGCGCACTTGGCGTAACAGGACAGCCACGAGCCCAAGGTAGGACAGCCGCGCCCTGCTCCCACCAGCCAGCGACTCTCCCAAGTCGACGGGGCGGAGCTCGGAGCCAGCCAGTCAGGGGCGGAGCTCGGAATTCGCCGCGTGCTCGACGAATTCCGACCCTGGCCCCCGCCGCCCATCGAGCTGCCTGAGCTGTGGATCGGCGGGGGTAGGGTTAAGTCGGACGTGTCCCCCTACAGGGGGATTTTCGACGAGAAATAATAAAATACTCAAAAAATACTCCAAAATGGTCAAAAATACCCCCCCCCAAAAAAAAAAGAGTCCCCTGGCTATTTTTTGGCTATTTTGAAGATTCCCCCTGTAGAGGGACAGGCCCGACATAAGGGCAGGGCTCGGATTTCGTCCCCGACGGTTCGTCCTCGGATCTCGTCCACGAGGGAAAAAAAAACTGCAACCTCTTCGCGATTGTCGCTCGTGTGTCTCCCTTCGCCTCGCTTCTCTGCCGCCCTGCCTCTGCCTCGGCAGCGCGCGCAGAAGCGCGGGCCGGCCGGGCGTCCGACGGGCGGCTCCGAAGGGGGCGGCGGCGCGGAGGGAGAAGGAGGGAGGAGGGAGGAGGAGGAGAGAGGAGGAGAGAGGAGGAGGAGGAGGAGGAGGAGGAGGAGGAGGAGGAGAAGGAGGTCAGAGGAGGAGGGGAGGAGAGTGAGGAGAGGGAGAGGGAGGGAGGGAGGAGGGAGGAAGGGGGAGGAGGGAGGAGGGAGGGAGGAGGGGATGGAGGAGGAAGGAGGAGGAGGAGGAGAGGAGGAGGAAGAGGAGGAGGAAGAGAGAGGAGGCGAAAGGAGGTGCCGTTCGTCGCCCTCCCTCCCTCCCCCCTCAGGGGCGTCGGAGGAATTAGCTACTCCGCCCCTGAGGGTCTCCCCCTCCCTGCAGCCTCCCGTACTTTACGTCTGCCGCGTCGTTTGATCACCACCACCCCAGGGGCAACGGCCCGGTGGGGGGAGAGATGGCAGCGTCAGGATGACGCGGTTGCCACCAGCTGCAAGCTACCGGGAGGGAGGCGAAGGAAATGGAAGAGGCTCGGAGAAGAAAGAACGGCACAAGGTTGGGTCGGGCATGTCCTCCTACAGGCGGATTTTGGACGAAGACCAAAAAGTACCCTAAAAAATCAAATATCAAATTTAAATATAAAAACACAACAACAACAACAACAACAACAACAACAACAACAACAACAACAACAACAACAACAACAACAACAACAACAACAAAAGTCGGAAAATCGTCCCAAAACTATGTGTTGACTATTTTGGGGATGTTCCTCCTGTAGAGGGGACATGCCCGACTTGAGCACAAGCGTGCCCTCTGACGCCGACCCCGGCGCGCCGCCGATCCCACGTCGATCGGCACGAGTAGGTAAAAGCATGAGGTAGGCAGGCGGGTAAAAGTAGGTTGGGCTCGGGCCCTCCAAGGGAACAACAGCACACAGCAGAAGCACACTGATTCTTGAGGTCGGAAGGCGCCTGAAGTGGACTGGGATCTGGGAATCCAAAGATACCCTTCAACGACCAGCGTGTCGGCGTGCCCTATGGTGCCGACCTCGGCGCGCCGCCGAATATCCCTGCCGCCGGCTCGCGACGGCGCGCCAGACGGGAGCGAGCGCTATGTCGGGCATGT